TACTAAACCTACAAAAAATAACCTACCCATAAAGTGTGTGAATTGGTGCGGTTCGCGGGTTACTCGCAACCTGCAAACCAAACTTCCACCCGAGGCTAGACCATATATATACTCAACCTAAAAGAAAATAATAAGTTGGTTAATATATTTGTATGGCCTGAACTTTTCACATAATAAACATCCTGGCCAATGTTTTGCGATCTCTAACATCATGGCGTGAACTATACACCAAGGTAAGAAAATTGGCCAAACCCGAAAATTGATCATTATCTTCGACGGTCATACGCATTGACTAACGGTCAACACGCCACGTCACCGCCAAGTTAGCACCTTTGACTTAAAAAAATTATAGTTTCCACCTATTACTATTTATCTTTTTCATTTTTATTTTTTTTAATTGAATTTCCATACATGAAATTCATTTTTCAATTTTCAATTTTTTTATTCAAAATGAAAAAATAGTAATTGGTGGAAAATATAAATTTTTGTAAGTGAAATGTGCTTACTTGGTGGTGACATGGCGCGTTGACCATTAGTCAACGCACGAGTGGACGCCGGGACACCCCTAAATTTTGGGAAACCGATTATTCAACCTACGGTGGTACTTTACATATGGATAAAAAGTTTATAATTGATTGTGAGGGACACCTCTGAAATTTGAAAAAATGATTATTCTACTGTCATTTTATAAATTTGTGTATGGGAATATAAGTGATAGGTTGGGTAATTCAAACCTAGAGCACTATCATTATTGATAAACTTATGCCCTGTTTAGTATCCATTCCCATTCCAGTTTTCTGCTTCCGTTTCCATAAAAATAAAAATGAAAAGAAAAAATGTGTTCACTTTTCAGTCCTTTTTCCATCTGTTTCCATTTGAGGAACCAATTTGACACCAAAAAATGGTAATTCCAGGAAACACAATATTATTGTTTCCGGAAAGAGGGACGCGGATTCCTCCCCCATTCCCATTTAATGAGGTCTCCCCTTCGAGTCCCTCCGCCCCCAAATTTTTACTTCCCTAATTTTATCTACTACTATGAACTATCCCTCCACCAAGAACCGTCACCAACCCCGTCCTTCTCTTTCTCAATCCCCTGCTGCTGATCTTCTATTTTGCTCAACCATAAGCAGCCCCCTTCTTCTTTAAAAAAGCGCAGCATAGTTTTTTTTTAGACACAACATAGCTTCTAATTAACCCATGTCTCCCCCCTAATTAACCCATGCATGTCCCTTCTAATTGATTAACCGAATCTTTTGTTGGTGTTTGATTACTTGTTGTATATCTAATACGAGGGATTTGTTTATGAAGGCTAGTACTGATGATTTAAAGAACACGTTTAATCAGTTAAGGATAAAGCAAAGGGTTTTCACGACCATCATTGTTGATGAAGACCAACAATGTGACAAAGAAGTCCAAGGAGTACAATAAATTGAAGTGTATGATATCGATTCAACTCAAACTCGTGTGATAGATATTCGACGTGGTGAAATAGCAGACAAGTTGCGGAATGACTTTCAAGCAAAAATTATTTGATGTTATCACTTAATTGATATTTGATATTGTAGTTGTACTTCTTAAAATATTGGTTGATGTATTATTGTTTTGTTTATTTGTTTAAAACATGATTCCTATTCAAAACAGATATCAGTTTGTAACAATTGTATCTAAACAAGTTTTCATTTCCAGGTTTCAGTTTCAGAACCCTCTAAATTCCCAGCTAAACAAGTTTTCTTCAGATTTTGTTTTCCAGGAAATGACAGATTCCTTTTCTTCATATTCCCTTTTTTGTTGTCCAGAAATCAGAAAACGAAATGAATACTAAACGGGGCATTAATTTCCATTCAACTACAACTCATTTGTTGTTCAATTTTGAACACTATATCATAGTAAAATGTCATTCCCTATCTCTAATTATTTTCAAAACCTAGCAATTAAACTAATTTCAACTTACCCTTAATTTGTATTGATTTTATGGTTGTATGACATGTGTTGAAAGAGTCTTTCAGCTTTGGGTTACATAAAAAACAAGTTTACAAATAGAATATGCGATAAGTTCGTGAATGATTGTCTAGTAGGGTATATAGATACAATTTTTTTAACACTATAGACACCAAGTGTATTCTACAATTATTTCAGAATATGAAAACACATAATGGACTTTTTAACTTGTAAGAGTAAGGTATTTTCTTATTTACATTTCATTTTCATTAATTATTTTATTTAATGAAATTTATTTTTTTAAAAGAGGACACCCCTATGAAAAATTTCTGAATCTGCCACTGAGTCAACGCTTTTGACCGTCCAAAATAACAATCAATTTTTAGATTTTGCAAATTTCGTTACTTTGATGTATAGTTCAAACTATGATGCTATAAATCGAAAAACCAGCCGTTTTTATTTTTATTTTTTGCCCCACTCGTTAAAGCATTTGGCTAAAATAATAATAATAATAATAAAAATAAAGCAGGCCGCTCTCGGCCAAAGGAAGAAAGCGATCGGGGAAATGGAATGTCGAGCTCCTGGAAGCACACGAGAGAGGGAGCTTAATTTCCTCGTCGCACGCGCCCCACTCGAGGTCCACTTGGCGTCCCTAGGTCCAACGTTTCCATCTCCACTCCTGAAAAATTCAATCCCTCGTCTCTGCTGGCCACGTGGATGATGCAGTGGAATGGGCATTGCAAGTTGCAACACCAATACGGCAATACGTGTGGGACGTGGGGTGGGGCATTGGCAGCTTCTGTAACAACAAATTAGTGACGATGGTCGGGCATCATCGACATGTTGGCTTCTTGATGGAATCATGATGGAGGATTCCATTGCTGAGGTAAGGAGGTTGATCATTCCTTGGTTAATTAGCACGGTAAGCAAAGCTAATGCCATGGAATTCGTGCTATTTTGATAATATAGCTTGGATGCGTGAGTAATAATAACTTCCACAATTTAAAAGTGAACACTTAGGAAAATAATCTAAAATGCTTCGAGTTTAAGTCATGGCATACACTGATCCCAACCCACTCATCGGGTCGTAGAGGATAATATAGAGAGAGCAGTCAGTTGTAGAGCAAGCAGTTAAAGGGAAGCCCGCTAGAGGAGTACAGTACGAGTGTCACTGAAAGTGTCAAAGATCATATGCGAGTAGGCAGCAAAGTAGAGTTTTAGTTATTTACTGTACTTTTAGTAGTAAGACTGGAGATTAAGAGTGTTACAATTGAGGAATTTGCCAAAGTGTTAGGGATTTATTTTAAGTAATGTTGACTTTTTATGTATACTGTTTGTACTATTATATTTCCACTGTGGTTTAAGTTGAAATACTATAAGTTTTCAAGGGAATTTTGGTAAAAGTAGTACCCGGCCAGATGTTACAGGGTTGTTGTCTGCAAGCTTGATCTCTATATTGATATCTTCCATGTCAGCTAGTCCCATCTTTTCAAAGAATTGGAGGGGTAGGATGTTGATACTTGAGCCAAGATCAACCAATCCTTTCTCTGTATGTTGTTCATCGAGAAGAAATTTGATTGTACAATGATCATGGTCCTCCTTTTGTTTAGGAAGTAGGATCATTTCTTCATAACCCCAAGGGGTTGACTTAATACTGATCTCCCTATGCTTCATCTTTTCTTCTTCCTCGAGAAGAATCTGATTTTGTCCTTTGGATTATCCATTGCAATGATGCTCTTCAACATCGTTATGGAAACTTCTTCTCCTCCCAAAGCTTCCATTAGATCTCAAAAAATATATTAATGATTCTTTCCTCCAAAGGAGGACATTGAAAGAAATAAATCCCACCGCAGGACCTGGTACTGCACACGCAGACTGCTTTTACTGCTCATGCTGACCGGGATGTACTATTATAACTCGGAAGCTGGCGCTGTGTGGCCTGGCGTTGGGTGGGGGCTCTTTGGGATCGGACGGGTGTTTGGAGGGTCGGTTGGGATGGAACTTGGTCTTTGGGCTGTTTTGGTCTGCTGGGTCGGTTGTGGTCCACGGACGCGTTGGTCACCAGGGCCCTCTCGGTGGCTGGAGCCTGCCCAGTTGCTTGATTGGATGGATTTCAGCCGGGATTTGCAGGTGATCGACGGATTAGTGGGTGGGAGGCTCGGAGATGGTGGGCCATGGGTGGGTTGCTTGATTGGATGGATTTCAGCCGGAATTTGCAGGTCATCGACGGATTAGTGTGTGGGAGGATCGGAGATGGTGGGCCATGGGTGGGTGGGGGACTGGAAGGCTTTGTTGCTCAGTGGTTTTGCATGTGGCTTGGGCCTGTTCCTTCTGAAACCTGAGGTTTTCGCTCATGATGAAGGTGTTCAGAGGATTTGCTCGGTTGATTGATCGAGGTCATGTCACTTTTTCCAATTGGCATTTGAGCTGAGAGGGGTGTTCGCCTGGGCGTGCTTATCGATTGTTTTCACGTCAATTGCAGGGATGGGCTGCGCTTGGGCGGCTGTTACTGTTTGACTCTCTCTACTTGGAAATCCTCTCAACATTATGTTTTTCCACTTTAGTATTTAAGCGGTTTTCTCTCACCTCATGGGTTCTTTCTCGCTTACTTTTTCCTGTTCCGATTGATTCTCTTCTCATCCGTCTGCTGTTTAGGGGCTTCTTTTGTTCTGCATCGGTTCTTCGACGGGATTCTTGCCCTGTACCTGGGATTATTATGGATGTGTTGTTGTTGTGCAATCTCAAGGGTCCCAACAGAGATGTTATTCTTCGTCTGCGACTGCTTCATATGTGGTTTGCGAAGAATCCTGATGGATCCAGGATATTCAATCACTGTTGTCTCTGGGTGGACCAAACGGTACTATAAGATTAACTCTTTAACCGTTTTTTTTTACCTTTTTACCAATTTTGTTCTCGTGTTGACTCGCTGTCCCTGGACTCTGATGCTTGCATGCAGGGCATGCTCATACAAAGTGTTGCAGATGTTTCTCTGGGAAATGCTTTCGAAGGTGTTCTGCGTGTTGGGACTATCTACATAATTCGGGCTTTTGGTCTTGCCGCAGCAAGGAATCTTTATCGTGCATGCTCTTTGGATCTTATCATGGAATTGTCAAAGACCACAAGTTTTCAGGCTTGTGTTCTTCCTGCTGTCGATTTTCCTGTCGAATCTTTTGAGTCTGTGCCATTCAGTGAGCTCCCAAAGCGTGCTGGTGATAATCGCATCCTCTCAGGTGCTGTGTGCGTTTGCTTTTATTCCTTTCAATTTTGTTGTATTATATCTGGTTTGTTCTCACTCTTTGTGTTTATCATTCCTTCTGCCCCTGTGCATCAGATGTTGTTGGGCGCCTCCATTCTATCAGTGGGGTTGATCATCAACTTAGCAATCATGGATCCACTCCAAAACAAGTTTTGGTCCTTGAAAACGCTGAGTATGTTTTTTCCCCCTGCTCCTTGAGGTTTCCTTTCGGTCACGGTTTGTTTTTTAACTTAATTTTTTTGTTGTTTTAGGGGCCAGAGAGTTTCGATCACACTCTGGAATGAATTAACCACGATCCTGGACAGTGTTGCTTTGATTCAGGCAGATCCATTGAGCCTGTGATTATTGCGGTTGGGAGCCTCATGGTTGGCCGTTTGATTGGTAACGTTTGTACTTTTTGGCATTTTGGTTGTTAAACATTGTGTGGGAGATTTTTATGTTCCCTCTGTGTGTTCGTGTTTTGCAGAAGGTGAGTACACATGTTCAAGCTCTTCTGCCACCCGCATAGTTATTAGCCCTCGCATTCCTGAGGCCTACAGTCTGACTACTTTGTGAGTTTGTTGATCAGCCCTTTGAAGTTTTGTTGCTCTTTGTTCTGTTACTAATCTCTTTTTTTTTTTTTTTTGCTGTTGTAGCTTTGCTGGAGCACGGAATCCTGTTGCAGGTCTTCCCATTCAGTTTGCTACACATGAGGCTGCTCTTGCAGATGCTGATCGTCACACGAGGACCATACTTGAACTCCATGATTAGTACCGTGCTGGTGCTTCGGTGGTATGCATATTTCTCTCTGTTATCGTGTCTGTTCTTCAGATTATGTGCAAATTTGTCTGGTCTTGGTTTGACCAATGTATCTTATTTTAAAATTTTAATAGGATGAGAAGCATCGTTGTGGTGGAATTGTCAGATCTGTTGAGTCTCGAAGTGCATGGTACTATACTTCCTGTAATATGTGTAGGAAAAAGTGTTCTACATGGAGGAATGGAAACTATTGGTGTCCTGATCATTGGGAAATATCTGACCAGCAAGTTAATATTGGGTATACACTGTGTTTCCTTTTTTGCAAACGTTGTATGTTTCTTTGCCTGGTTTGCTTTATGATGAAGACTTCTGAATGTGTTCCCTGTGTTATATAGGTACAAGATTCAGTTAGTCTTGCGTGACTCGACAGGAGAAGCATCTTTTATTGTTTTTTGGGCCAGCTGGTAATAATCTGGTGTTCACGTCTGGCCATGTACTTGCTCAGAGATATCCTCACAGAACTGGCCAGCTGCCACCTGAGCTGAGTAATTTGATAGGCCAGTTTGTGAGGTTTGAAGTTAAGCTTCCTATGATGAGTGCGAATGGAGTATCCACTGGAGAGTTCAGGGTGTTCCGAGTGCTTCCTCGGGATAATCAGGGTCTACTACCCACTGTTGTTGCTCCAGTGCAGACAATTACTGATGGAACCCAGGGGCAGCTTGCTTTGCAAGGCACGAATGAACAATGTGGAGTGCTTATGTTGACTGGACCAACTGAATCATTACCTGTGAGCAGTTCTGTGTCTACTCCATCAAGGTTTGAAATTTCCCTTTCAGTGTTTTGATGGTCTCCTGACGATTACCTCCTGTTGATGTTTGGGTTGTGAGTTCAGAACTGGTTGTTTTTGTTGTTTGCCAGTTCGACCAAGGGCAAGGCAAAGGTTTCTGGACCACTATTGTTTGAGAACAACAATCCAACTTTTTAGATTGGGCAGGCAGCAGGCCAGCCTCTCAGGTTATTTCTTGAATTTCTAAGCTGTTTTTATTTCACGTTGCCTGGGTAACTTCTTATGGATCTTGTCTCATTTTACAGTCGGTATCAAGGTCCGTTAGTCGCTGGGGGGGGGGTGCTGGTCATGTGCCTTTGGGAACTCAAACTTTATCACAACCCATTACCATCAGAGCTTCTTCTGCACCTGCCAAACAGCCTTCTGTGTCAGCTGTTCTCGGAATTCAGAATCCAATCCTTGGAGTTCCTGCAGGCTCACCAGACCCTGTTCGTATGGGGTTTGTTGGCGATAAAAAAATTCCTGAAATTAGGCCATCTTTGCCGCAGGGTAGTGTTGTTGATTCAATGAGTTCGTGTGAGCAACCCTCTCTGCCTTCAGCGGGTGAAGTTGGGAAGGAGTTTGGGACTCCTAAAAGTAAGGTTGGTAAGTCATTATCTTCATCGGGTACAGTCATGGAAGACATTGGAACTCCTCAGAGTAAAATTAGCAAGACATCATCTACATCAACACCCTCTTCATCCCCGTCGGCAAATCTGTAAGCCGTTTTGGTTACTATATCTTTCTTCAACTGTGCTGGAATGTGACCTTTTTTATTTTTTATATTAATCTGATTCCTTTCAAATGATCCAGGTTGGTGTCACCGCTGGCAAAGGTGAAGGTTGAGAAACTGGAATCTTCAGGATCTAGGGGACCTGAAAGTGGAAGCTCCGACGGACCTGCTCAGAGTCCATCAGCCTTCTCGCTTGAGAACATAGCTTCGCCACAGGCATCTGTCAAGAAATCCTCGGCCAAGCGTCTCCTGTACGAGAAATAAGGTATTGGGTGTGCTTACAACATTGCATCCAAAATTCCAGTGTTCTGTTATCGTGCAATCTCATCCCAGGATTGGTTTGTCATGAACAAAATTTTGTTTGTCTATATTACTTTGTAGGATCACGTATGGAGCTCGAGGGAGTTATTGCTGGTGCTTTGAAGTTAGCTTTTGAAGGTGCCAAATCCTCTTTTGGAGGTGTTTGGGAAATCCGAAGTTCTCAGGGTGTTGTGTTGGATGGCTTCTTCATGGAACTTTTGGGGGACTTCTTTGATGCATGTCTGTCTTCCCAATCATCCTGTTGATCTTCGATGTATCAGTGAACTGAAATAGACTGTTTTTTTGTGAATATTCTGGTCAACTCTCTTGCAGCTTGGTAGTGTGAAGGTTGTAACTGCTAGGATTCTGGTTTCAAATATGTGGTGGTGTAGGATTTCTCTTAGTATGTTTTGGTAATGGTTGCAAGTACTGGCATAATGTAATCATGTATAAATCTAGATATCGATTAAGTATCAGTTAGGGTATCTCTATTGTTTTGTGTGCTTTGTTTTTCTGTTGGCAAAGGTGTGTCAAATGTTTGGTTTCATCAACTAGATATCCATAATGAAATTATTTGTTTGCGAAGTGTGTGCATCTATGTCCATAATGAATTTTGTTTGTGAAGTGTGTACATCTGATGTTTCTACCACATCCTACATTATTAAACTATATTTTGATCTCAAATGTTTGTGGTAAATTAAATCTAACATTTGAAAATCGAACTTTGACAGTAAAAATTATACTAATTGATGCTCTTTTGGTGATTACAGAAAATTAGATGAAAGTATATCTATGTGATGTAATAGGTCATCATTGCTTTCATTAGCATATATGCTTATGTCACCAATTGAGTATTGAGTATTACTGACACCTATCAATTTTCATTTAATGCTATGTACCAAACAGATTTATAATGATTACATGGGGATATATAAAAAAGTAGTTTAGTAAGAGAAAAATTGATATCATCCATTTATTCTCAAACAGTGCTTCTACTGCTCAAGTATATGATTCTCACAGTTTCCTTTCCTAAATGCCATAAATACACCAGAGTTTCTGCAGAGAAACAGTTAAGGTTGGAATATTCCTATATCATGTTGCAGAACTCATAGAATCTATAGTCATGTGAGTTCTTCTGAGGTTCATTCATTCATTCATTCATTCCTAGATTAGTCTGTATGTCATTCATTAGTTTGTCAGTCTCTTATTCATTCTGCAAACTTGGATGCCATCCATTCTTTACCATTATTGCGCATCGAAGTTTCCATGTGAGGGAAACTTCAATCATTTCTGTTTTTACTACATTAATGCAACATGACACCAAGAAAGAAGCCAACAACTAACAAGGTGTTAAAACGAAATTTGAATGAAGATTCTCTAAGTTCTGGAATCACTGATGACACGCCATCTTCTTTTCCGCAAGTTCTGATGGACAACACAAGGATTAATAAGAAATCACGCCAGCTTCCTTTTATGCTCTCGGTTGAAGATACAGAGCTTTCAGGAAACATTTCCACAATTACAACTCCTAGGGACCCTTACACAACACACATGGAAGGTCAAACCTCAAGGCAGAATCCTCCAAGTATTGGGCCGAAGAAGAAATCTGGCTTTGCCAGCAAAGAGGTTTGCACTGCAAGAAAACCATTGCATAATGATGTACTGAATGTTGGAAAACCAGAATGTGTTTGTCGGTTCTGTGGGGCATTTTTTTGGTACTATGAACGATTGGATCGTCATAGAAAGACAGCTACTCCGGTGTATACTCTGTGTTGTCAAAAAGGAAGAGTGAAGCTCCAATTATTGAAGCAGCCACCTCCCCTTCTTGCCCAGTTACTTGACATCAATGGTGGAGCATTATCAAAGCATTTTAGAGAAAATATAAGGCCTTATAATGGGTCGTTATGTTTCACATCTTTTGGAGCAAAACTAGATCCTCGATCTCTAACAAGTCGAGGACCTTATTCGATGGTGATTTGCGGAGAGAACTATCATAGAATTGGTTCCTTGCTGCCGGTTGAAGGAGAACGACCAAAGTTTGCTCAGCTATATATCTTTGAACCTGATAGTGAGGTTGACAATAGATTAGCAAACTTTTCAACTCGAGAAGAGGTGTTGTTACCTGAGTTACTGGCATCTTTACTCAGGATGCTTGATGAAACAAATGAATTGGTGAAGACATTTAGACGCATCCGGCAGAATCTACAATTTTCTTCAACACCAAATCTACGCCTTCGAATATTTGGAATCAAAAGTAGGAATCAACAATACGATCTTCCAACTAGCAGTGATGTTGCAGGCTTGATACCGGGAGATTTTGTTCCCGATAGAGAAGACAGAGATATCATTGTAGATTATCAAAATGGAGGATTGAAGCGAATAACAAGTTTGAATCCAAAATTTGAAGCGCTGCACTTTCCTTTATTATTTCCTTATGGAGAGGATGGTTTTCACCCCCAAATCTCATATAACATTTCCTTCTGTCCTCCATCAATGCGCAGGAAGTTTGTTACGCAAAGAGAATACTATGCTTTTAGGCTTCAGTATCGGATAGGTGAAGGCCATACGTTGGTCAAGAGTGGAAAAGCGCTACAACACTATTGTGTTGATGCATTTTCAACAATAGAGCTCAATCGATTGGCATTCCTTAGAACCCATCAAAAGGACCTGAGATCTGAAGTGTATCAAGGTTTGGAAGATGCATTTGCTAGAGGAGATATGGACGGTGAGAAACTTGGTCGTATTATTATACCTTCTTCATACACCGGAGGACCTAGATATATGCAACAACTTTATCATGATGCCATGGCAACCTGTCAGCACTATGGAAATCCTGATTTGTTCATTACATTTACGTGTAATGCACTTTGGGAAGAAATTGTTGAGGCGTTTGCAGATGTGGTGGGTTTGAACAGTGAGTTGAAGCCAATGGTTGTTTGTCGGGTATTTCATATGAAACTGACCAAGCTCATTGATGAATTCAAACGAGAATCGTACTTTGGCAAAACAAGAGCAAGTAAGTGTTTTATACTTGCTTTTATGTTATGCATATTTTGACATTCAAGAACCATATTTCAGCCCAGTAATCATTTACAAAGAGTGTGCTGGTAAATACTAATACAGGCATGTTAGTTCTACCATTAGTTTTGTGACAATTAGTGCAGGTTATATTATCAAATACTCAAATAGACATGATATTTTTATATAAACTTGCAGTTAGTGTTACAAAGTGCTAATGGATACACAAATTCTTTTCTCCGGTAATTTATACTATCGAATTTAAAAAAAAGAGGCCTCCCTCATGTACACATGCTGATATGGTTAGCCAAAGAGGATAAACTATAAACAACCAGTGATATTGATGAGATGATTTCAGCAGAGATTCCAGATCCTCATGTAGATCCAGAAGGATATGCAGCTGTGGTCAAGTTCATGCTTCATGGACCATGTGGAATTGACAACCCTAAATCACCTTGCATGAAAGATGGGAAGTGTTCAAAGTTCTTCCCCAAAGCATTTAGCAATGAAACTTCATTTGACAAGTTTGGAAATGTAGTCTATCGATGTAGAAATTCTAGAGTACAAGTGAAAAAAGGAAAAGTTATGCTGGATAATAGATATGTCGTTCCATATAACAGGAATTTACTGGTTAGAGCTCAGGCTCACATTAATGTTGAGATATGTCATAAAGGAGGATTGGTGAAATACTTATTTAAGTATATCACTAAAGGACCAGATAGATCCCTCATTATTGCTGAAGATTCAGTGACTTCAAAACAAGTTCCCTCCACAAATTCAAAGAAGTCAAAAGATGAAATACAAGAATTCATTGATTGTAGATCCTTATCCTCTTATGAAGCTGTCTGGAGAATCAATGAATATCCTATTCATCATAGGGAACCAAATGTTGTCCGACTTGCAGTACACTTGCAAGGGCAACAAAATGTTCCTTATAAGCGGCAATCAAGTGTGAAAAACATTCTGAAGAATCCCAGAGCTGGCAAAACACATCTGACAGCTTGGTTTCAACTTAATAGACAGGACCCTGATGCTAGAAAGCTAACATATGCTCAGATACCAGGTTCATACACATGGGATGAAGAATATAATGAGTGGACATTGAGGAAAAGAGGATTTGCCATTGGAAGAATTGCTTATGTTCCTCCAGGAAGCAGTGATGTCTTTTTCCTTAGACTATTGTTGACAAAGGTACAAGGAGCAGCCAGCTTTAATGACTTAAGGACTGTTCGAGGAGAGCTCTGCAGTACTTATGAAAAAGCGTGTGAAAAATTAGGTCTCTTATCTGATTCTTCAGAATGGATTAAGGTTCTTCAGGAAATATCAACTTCAAGCATGCCAAATCTGATAAGGAGCAGCTTTATTTCAATGCTCATGTTTTGTGAAATACCTAATCCAACTGCTTTGTTCGAGTCGTCTTGGAGACTTATGGGTGAAGATCATGCATATTATCTTCAAAAGCAGCTTCATTCAAACACATATGAGCCCTCAGAGGAGAGACTGCGAAATTGGGTGCTTCATCAACTGGAAACCTTATTGGGATCTTATGGTTCCTCCCTCGAACATTTCCACCTTCCTAAACCAACAGATTCACAACCTGATGATGGTTCAAATCCCCTGATAAACCAACATTTAAACTTTGACACTACTCAGGAACAACAAGCAGCTGAAGAAATGCTTTGCGCACTCAATGCAAATCAATTTGAAGCTTTCTCATCGGTGATGCTACCAATCAACAACAATATAGGGAAGTCATTTTTCTTATATGGACACGGAGGAACAGGCAAGACATTCCTGTACAATGCAATAATCACAAAGCTCAAGAGTTTGTCCAAAATATGATTGTTGTTGCTTCCTCTGGAATTGCAGCAACACTACTTCCAAATGGCACAACTGCTCATTCTAGATTCAAGATCCCACTCCACTTGGACAACACATCGACATGTTCTATAAAAAAGGGTACACATTTAGCTGAACTAATATGCGAGGCTTCATTAATTGTTTGGGATGAAGCGCCAATGACACATCGACATGCATTTGAGGCAATTAGCAGGACATTTTGTGATCTGATGGAGATTCCTCTGTCTGGAACAGGACATAAACTATTTGGGGGTAAAACAATTATTTTAGGTGGAGATTTCAGGCAAACTTTATCTGTCTGTCATTGCAGATTCAGGAAGGGAACAGACAGTTGATGGATCAATCACAAGATCACCATTGTGGAATTATTTTCAGATGCTGAGACTTTCAAAGAATATGAGACTAAATGATTCACAAGAAAACAACGTGATAGTAGGCTGTGGCCTTAAATTTGGAGAATGGGTTCTCGCTCTTGGAGATGGAAAGTTGGATACAAACTCCTTTAGTTCGAACACTCCTTCAGACTGGATTGAGATACCAGAAATATTTCTGGTGATTCCTGGAAAAAATCCACTTCAATCAATAACAGAAGAAATATATGAATCATTTGCAGATTGCTATAAAGACACAAAGTACCTGGGAGGAAGAGCGATTGTGACTCCAACAAATGCTGTTGTTACTGAAATCAATGATTACATGTTGCAACAGCTGCCAGGAGAAGGGCATTGCTACTACAGTTCTGATTCCATGCACCTAGATAAAGAGGTCCCTGAATCATTTAGTGAAACTTATCCCACTGAGTTTCTTAATACTTTATCGTTCAATGGTGTGCCAGATCACGAGATAAGACTGAAAGTTAACACTCCAGTGATGTTGCTCAGAAATCTAAGCCCCCCAAGTGGTTTATGCAATGGAACACGATTGATGATAACGTCGTTAGGTCAGAATAGCATCATAGGAAATATCATGGGAGGATCCTTTGATGGAAAACCTGTAGCAATATCACGAATTGTGCTCAACATTGAGGACAAAAAATGGCCGTTCATCCTCAAGAGACGTCAATTTCCTGTTCGATTATGTTATGGAATGACGATAAACAAAAGCCAGGGACAAACCCTGGATAAAGTTGGAATTTATCTACCGAATCCAGTATTCAGTCATGGCCAATTGTATGTGGCCGTATCCAGAGTCAGATCTGCAGCTGGGCTGAGGTTTCTGATAACAAATGAAGAGGGTGTTCCAGGAAATCACACAAGAAACATTGTGTTCTCAGAAGCATTCACAGATATCACAGGAAATTAAGTTCTCCATCCATGATTATGAAGGTAAGCGTTAAAGTTTATTCTGACACATTTCATGTTCTACTCAAAGAAAAATTATGAATATGGTCTATGAGATAGTGACTAATCACGTTTTACAACAATGCAGGAGTCATCTGGAACACAAAACCATCTTTGGGGGCACATGGAGAAACTACTTTCATCCCTTAATATTGTATCTACCAAAAAAACTAGCAGGAGACATTGTTTGCGTTTTGAATTCTGGGCAGGTTCTTCATGTTCTTCCTGTTCTTGCAGAATGACACAATAGAATATTTTATGATGCTCTTTTGATCGAACTTTTTAGAGAACATACAAATAAATTGTTTTCACCAAACGACAGACTCCTTAACGTTTTGCAAGACAACAATTTTGGGCCACAAATGAAAATACACCTCCCCTGCCAAATTTAAATATCGGCCCACATAAATGGTTTGCACCAATTTCACAACATTGACTAACGTCGTGGACCCTGCACTACCCTACAAAAAGAGATTCTATTTCCAGAAGTAGACTCTTATCCGCAGCTGAAGTTTACTCCACGAACCAATAGAAGCCCTAAACAAAGGTAAATCGGCTTCTACTTCTAACTCCAATCACATAATTTACAATTCAGAAAGACAGCTCATGAACAAAGGTCCCTACCACCATGGAAGCTTCGCACCAGAAACGCAGGACCACGGTAGAAGATTGCACGGTCCCCAGCAACAGCCGAGGTAAACACATTCCATCTCAATAGGTGTTCCTTTAAACGTCTAGATACATCTAGAAAATATGCCGTTTCATGTTCAATTAGGCCACCTATATAAACTTGATGACCTGGTAGCTTTCCCAGCAAAAACAAAGGGCAGAGTAGTTCCAAGAGAGTTACAACTGATGATGAAGGCTAATCAACTTATCTCTCATGTTGAAGAAGACGAGGACAGTCTAGTGGATCCAGTGGACTTATACCCTGCAGCCTTCTTTTCAATGGTGCCAATGCAGAAAAACAACTATGACTGCCATGGAGGTAACCACTAGATACTTTACTTTTACACTTAGAACAAAGATGTAAATGCACTGACAATTAGAAAATTACAGACATCACTGGTTGCATCCGACGAGTCACAGTTCCAGAAACTGTTCAGGGTACCCTTAAGGAATTCATCGTGATCATGGAAGATGTCAGGTAACTTCAGCAAGTATATTACAATACATTCAGAACAAACATATGCAAGTATAAGTGGACAAAATTGTTCTTCCAGTTCTTGCGTTGTTCTTAACAAGAGACACATTTTGTGTTTTTTATTTTGAAACTCAAAGTTGGAAAGCAGTTATAAGTTTTTGTCAGTTAATATCGGTTCGGACTTTCCAGAGAGAAGTTAGAAAGAAAATTCGGTCAGCCCAACTGATACAACTTGACAACCCAATCAAAGCAGGAGCGTATTGTAAGTTTTTTTAAAAAAAAGGCCTGATTCAACAATTAGACCCCATTGCATATGAAACAGAGCCCAAACACGATGTCAAGGCCCAAACAATAGATCCAAAAAGGACTTACCCTAAGTTAACCCTAGCTTACATAAACTACCAGTATGTTTTTTATGCCTTCTAGAATCGGCCGCGCAGTCCAGATACAAAAAACACGGGAAACCAGAGTCTCGAAGAACTGGAAGCTTTCTTCTACCCAACAGATTTACAATTGAATAGTACAACTGATACGTGAGATTCCGTGGACCCACACAGAATGGAATCTTTGAGGAATAAGCATCAAACTATAGATCGCGATTGTATGGTCCCCAACGAACTGAAAGGTAAATACATTTAATCTGGAAAGAGATCCTAAAAACGCATCTCGATTCCTATGCAAGTTTTTTCCATTTATTATTTATCGATTCGTCTTTATTCGCGTTGCAGATTCCATTGATGCAAGCATGTGCTTTCGGGGACTGCGTTTGGGAACAAACAATCGAACCGTTATAGCTAGACATGTCGTTACATGGTCTGAGTTCCGAGAAGTGCCTTTATCCACATGGAAGAAAAGGACATATCACATGCTCTGGCTTGACAAAAAGGTTTGGATCCAGATACCCCAACTATATTCATAAATATTCGTCAGAGCATTTGATTCAGTGTTAGGACAAAAGAAATTACCAATATACAAACCCTAAACATCAATTAACCTACTACCGAATACTAAAAGATCAGACACTTTTGGCAACATATCTATCTACCATTGACTATACAGAACAGGTTGATCGAAGCTCAGGTTGAAGAAGAAGAGGCGGCTGAGGTTTTTAAGAAGATCAAGGTTGGCTGTCTGCATGAACTACATGATATTGTAGCAGGTCCAGCAAGATCAATGCCACGCGTTGTCCATCGAGAGTTGCGCCTACTCCTCACTTCAAATCAAATTAGAAGACACATTGAAGAAGGAAATGGACCCCAGCAGTTTCCATCAGGATCATACACAGCAGCCGATTTTTCCATTGTGCCTCAAATATCAAAAGACTTTGTCTGCCATTCAGGTAAATATATGTCACTTTATCCACGATCAACAAACACCATTGAAAAAAGCATAAAAAACATTAAATCTGCAGATGTTATAGGATGTGTTAGAAGACTAACTCATCCAGAAAAAATTAAAGGAATAATTCAGAAATCCGACCTGGTCATACAAGATGTCTGGTATGCTCTTAAGACTGTACACTTTTTTTTGCTTTGTAAGAATGTATAGTTAACGCATTGCTTTGAAATCAGTGGAGCAAAGGCTTATGTTGAATACAGTGGCCATGACATTGATGATTTCCAAAAGCATGCTCCAGCAATGGAGTCAAAGTTACCATTGATTGTGACAATCAAATCAGTTAGTAGAGTAACTCCTAGACATGGCAGTAAATATCAGCACGAATTTCGATCAACAGTTGCGAGTAAGCTTATCATTCGTTCTTATACAGACAACTGCAAGGATATCATGAACATGTAAGTTGTTGTATATGGGTTTGCCCAAGATAACTTATTGGTTCAACCACTATAGATTTAATGATACTTACACATTGCTTTTCAACATGTAGCTTTCTTGCATGTCGCAAACCAGTTTACTTCTTCGATGATGCTACTTGCAAAAAAACTGGCCACCTGCTGAGCAATCAACTGCCAAAGAAATCGTTGAGAGAGATAAAAGAAAGGATGGAGGACCTGTCAGATTTCACAAAGGTATATGAACAAACACCAGCATTGACATCAGCTGTATATTTTCATCTGTTTACCAGAATAATACATCCGACCTTTTATGCAACAGGTCACTTACATGACATTGATTGACATTCCAAGGTTTATATACAGAAAAAGCATCTGCAAAATTCGTGAAGAGAACACGGGGTAAGCTTTTGACCATCCTCCCATGTTTACACATGCGATAATAATACATTTTATATAAACCTAACAAAAAGATCTTTATTGCAAGACTGACATACAAACTGGAAGGGAGATGTCGCCAAGAAGGATATGAAATAGATGTGGTGTTTGAGCATGAAGCAGCTCTGTCACTTATTCGTAAGTCACCGTCAGATTATCTGTTTCTAAAGAAGGACCAAATCATAGAATTGATCACACAGAACTGTGCCAAAAAATTTGCGGCGGAATTGAATGTCGCATGGAGAAAAGTGGGAGACAGTGATTCAGATATACGACCGGAAGCAACAGTGCTCACCCTGTGGGACCGATCAACATTCGAGAAATGATGATGTCCTTCGGACCTTGCCATTTTGATATCGTGCAAACCACAAACGCACGAAACTTCTCAAAACATTTTGTCATGCCAAGCTTGAAATCTTCAGTCTCCGTCTTGGAACTTTTATTTATTTAGTAGATATATCGTGGAAAACTTGGACACAATCCTGACTACATTTATGTTTATTCTGCAACCCAGTCAATCTTTTGCATAATGTTTATTTTTAAACCCCAGTGTTTTATGTTTATGACAACATTTATGTCTATATTTAGGACATAAACGATTATGGTTATAGAACAAACATATGCAAGTTTACTTATATGGCTCTAAGAAGCCAAGCCATGTGTATTCCATTAATGGATAGTATATCACAAATTTTGTAGCTTTTGTGGAATCGATATGAATTCCCAATGTACATGCTATTTCAGGCTGAACAACTATCGATGATCTTAGAATAGAACCTCAATAGGATCAAGCTTATACATCAAAATACAATAACTCAATTGTTCCACCCATCCCGGCGCAGAGCGCGGGCAAAGAAAAAACTAGTCCTTATTGAAACTTCCTCATCACCATCTTCTTCTTTTTAGAATACGACCATAAATATCTATTTAGGTTAAATTTACATTTTGTTACATACTATAGTCGATGTTGTTTAGGGTGTGAAACCATATGTATCCGTAATTTTTTGTAGTAATAATATACTGAAGTTGAATTTAAGCTTGTGATTCATCACTCTTGTTTGTCTACCTCAATTTTTCATGCATGCAGCTGAGGAATCGCACGTGCATGATATTCTGTGCGCTAAAAGCCAATGCCACACCAATGCAGTGAAGTTGCGTACCCCATGGAGGATTCTGCACACCCTGCTCACCAGGTCTGTCATCCCTAGTTTGCGAGCGGGCACCTGATCACTAAGAGAGGGCTGATAGCCCTCCACTCGATGAGGAGTCCCGCCGAGCCTCTTCATATGAGAGTGATGGTTGCTACCACTGTCGTTCGGTGTCTGAGGTGGAACATGGTGGAAATCATGCATTTGGGGGCATCATCACCAGATTGGCCCGACACTTCGAGCCATTCCCAGTAGAGACCCTTTACAACATGAAGCTGGTGCTTCGTGGAGAGCGAGGGATCGAGTACCTCGACGGGCTTCGACCTTCAGCGGCCCTAAGGCGGAGAGTCGACCCTGCTCCAGTGGAGCCCGATCGAGAGGCCCTCCTGTAGAGCAGCCACCAGCTCAAGCTCCCGGCCGCCGCCGGCGTCCTACACTCCAG